TTCCTTCCTTCCTTCCTTCCTTCCTTCCTTCCTTCCTTCCTTCCTTTCTTTCAACTCAGCTATTCTGGTATCTGGCAGCTCAGTACTCTGTCTTCTCTCCTTTTGTCTGTCTGTCTGTCTCTCTGTCTCTCTGTCTGTCTCTCTCTCTCCCTCTCTTCCTCCCTTCCTCCCTCCCTCCTTTCCTCCTTCCAGGTCAGTTGAATTCTTTATAACCTAGCAAGATGGAACGTCTCTATGGTGTAATCAACCTGCATTTCCTAGTTTAGGCAAATATGTGTAGAAAAGCTTTAATTATGCTTCGATAGATCTCTTGCTATTTTGTTTTGCCTTATTTTATCAGATTAGACATAGTTTTTATTCATTCCTTGTCGGGGGTTTTTAGCCCTCTTTCCCTCCTGACCTGCGGGAGAGATGGAGAGAGCACGCTCCAACCAGGATGAGCCAAGAAAGGAAGAATATATGCAGGTTTTACAAAAGATAAAAAGAAATATGAATGACAAATCTTCATGGAAAACTGTTGTACAATTGTTAACTGGAAAATACACATTGAATTCACAGTGATACATTTGAACCAATCAAAACTAAGTAAAATCTTTCTACATCAAACTGACAGTCATTTGTCTGTTAGAAAATCACAATATTATGTAGTCTAAAATAAGTTAAACTATGTCTTTGGAAAAGAATCAGCTTTAATCATTGAAAAATGAGGTGGCATGACCTCTCTTTATAAGACTGAACATTTGCACTCCTAAGTTTACAGCATAGAGAAGGGCTTGACCACTCCTACCAATAAACTTGAAGAGAATCCCCAAATCTAAGAAAACTAACAAAAAACAAATAAATTAGGCAAATCTTATACAATGGAATAACATGGAACACTGAAACTAAATACAATTCAGCTCCACTTGTGAACATCTATATCTTTTACGATGTACTTGAGTGACACAAAGAAATTTTCAAGAGATTTACTATATTATTATAATGCCATTTTATATATAAGTAAGTGATAAAAGTCTAAAAAGATATAGGGGATACATTTTTTTTTCATTTCAAGTTTCTATTATGTATAGCAGGAGAGGGGAGTTCTATTTTTTAAAATTTTTATGTATGTATGACAGCAGAATGCATTGCAATTCTTATTACACATACAGAGCACAAGTTTTCATATTTCTGGTTGTATGCAAAGTATATTCACACCAATTTGTGTCTTCATACATGTTCTTTGGATAAGAGAGGAGTTACTATTTAAAGGGACTACAGAGTTGACATTCAGAGATGCAAAACTTTCTGTTTCCTGCATTGGAACAGAGGCTTTATGAGTGTTCATATCATATATGAAAATCTCTAGTTTAGCAAAGATTGCATCTTTCCATGGAACTTCCCTTTTAAAGAAAGTAAATATTTACCTCTTTGCATTCTTGTTTAAAATTCAGCAAGAAATGTTGTCAAATCTTTGCTTACCCATGGCAGCTGTTTCCAAAATTTTTCTTCTTTCAGTTCTTCTCATTATCTTGAGTATTTTGTCAGTCCTTACTGTTTTTCTATTTTATAAATATTTTTATTATTTTTAGTAGCAATTATACATGTGTATTTAAATAATATTTGTTTTTTAGCTCCTTTTACTTTTCTCAGATTACATAGAGCAAATGACTAGAATCATGCTGTCCAATGTTGTAGCTACTAGTATTTTGTGGCTAAATTCAGGAGCTGTTATGTTACACATACTTTAAGTGTTTAATAACCACATAGGGTCCTTAGCTATCATTTTAAATAGTGTGCAATCTAGAACATTTCCTTAATTCAGAACCAGGTAACAAACCCATAAAGTAAACCAGCAAACCCAGAATTCTGCCATGTAGGAGAATATTTGAATGGAATTTATGTCATATGTTCCTGTCTTCCACATAACTAATTTGATTGACTTATTAATTGCTCTTAAAATAAAACTCAATTACCTCAAACATTGATTTATATCTTAGACTTTACATTTAATGATGTAATTAAATATTTCCCACTAATAAGTTTTTTTTTCTTTATCAAATAAGTATATGAATTTGGAACACATTAAATACATAGCAGTTTTTCACATATAACTCATTAATAAAAGCACACAGAAACTCTTCCAAAAAAATACTAAAATCTTACCATGAACTAATTTTATCAGAATTTTATGGTGGGATCTAGATATCACTATTTTAAAAATACTAAGTGGATAATTAGAATGTGAAGATCTTCAGTGAAAATATTTAAAATAGTTAAACTTCTTTAGTCACTATAGATTTCCTAGATAAAACATGAAAGTAATCTTGCTTCACCCAAATTCTGTATGTGTATGTATACAGATACATCACATTTATATATCCACAGATAGATGCACACACAAACACACACATATTACACATTATTAGAATAGTCTGTTTTTAATGAAACATGCTCAAATATTTTTAGATTTGCTGAAATTGGTAAGGATGATCTAGATAATTCCATAGAGCCCTACTGTCCCTTGTTTTTAATATTGTTCTTTACTATGCCATGTTTGTCACAGCTAACCAGTCAATTTGGTACATTGCTAACTGCTTACCTCCATACTTTATATTTAGAGTTCACCATTTTTCCCCTAATGTTCACTTGCTGTCCCAGAAGTCTATGAAGAATATCCAGAATATCATATTACATCACACATAACATATTCTATTTCTTCAGGTTTCTCTAAATTATAACGTTAGATCTTTAGATTATTTTTTTTAACTCATCCTAAGTGTGGAAAGGTAATAGTCTGAGAGTTTGTAGAATGCTCCTCAGTGAAGATTAGTCTGATGTTTTCATAAGGTTTAGATTGAGTATTTGGTTTTTTTGGGGGGAAAGCCCAGCGATGAAGTCATATTTAATACAACATATTAGGAATATATACTATTGTTTTAATTACTCACTGATAATGTGAGCCTTGATCCTTTGGCTTTCTCCACTGAAAAGTTTCTCATTTATTCCCCTTGCTTTGCCTTACTCTACAAGGAGAGTACTGTGCATAGCCAGCTTATTCACTCAGGAGACATGCCCCTTCTTCATGAGCAAAAAGATTACCTACAAAAAAAATGAAATTTTGAAATTTGTGTGGGAGATTTGTCTATTTTCAGCATTTATTTATTGTTATACATTTATTTTTATTTTTTTAGAATTATTCATTTTACATTTTGAATTATAACCCAGTAGTCATTTATTTTGTTGCTCATATTTTTTCTGCTTTGGGAATTGGGGACTTTTTTAGTTGGCTCCTGTGTCCTTGTGGCACACCTCCATCACTGTAAAGTTTTGTTAGTGATTTAGGAGTTCCTTACCTTTTGGAACTAGAAGATTCTCACCTGCAATCTTCAAGGGGAGGGAATAAGTAACCACAGGAGGTGTTGACTAGCTGGAAATAAAAGGCCCAAAAAGTAGTATTAAGAAATAAAGCAAAGGAGAAGAAATATATTGAAACTGGGGGCTTGATGGGTGGAAAAGTCCTGATGAGTCTGACCCTAACAAAGGGGAAAAGCCCAAGAATGCTTTATTTATAGTGAAACACATCAAAGGAATTTATTGTGAAGAAGGGTTCTTCAAGATAAACAAGAAGTGAGAGGCCATGGGGAAGTTGGCTGAATGGGAACTTGTCTCTTGCTTAGTAAATTCTTCCCCCTCCAGGCAACTGATGCCTCAAGGCTAGTTGGGTACACTGATTCTCCTTCTACCTCCATTTGAATTTAGGGCTGTCTCAACCAATAAATTCCTCAGGGATCACAGAATTCTCTTTGAGTAGGATGTTTGACAAGGCAAAAAGGGCAGTCTCAGATGGGTGAGATTACACTGAGAGTCCTCCTAGGTATACACCTCCTGGAGATGTTTTAGACACGCCCACAATTCATTCATGGCTCCCAGCAGAAGATGCTTCAGAATTAACTTATATTTTTCCTGACCCACTCGAGGATCGATCAGTTTTTTAAAGAACATGCTTTCCTTTTATTAGAGACTGATACATATCTGATGCTAGCTGCATTCACTGCTCCTGGGTATCCATGCTTCTGGATCCTCTCAGCTAACAAAAGAAATATGTGTGCATACTAACTCCTGCATATATCTACTCATATTTCTCTATGTAGACATCTGCATCCACATTAAGGTAAATATGAGCTCATATCGATGTCTTCCAATTTAAGCATTTGCACCATAAATCATTCCTGTTTTCTCCCCATGACCCTAACCATCCACTATCTAATACTTCATTATTAACTTTCATTATACAAATTCTTTAGTTTTTACTATGATGATTAAGGTAGATATTATTAAAGTAGTGTGTAGTAAAATCTGAAATGAGTTAGTAAAGCAGATTATTGTTTTAACCAGAAAGCTAGAACTTATTTTCTTTAAATTTTAAGTTCCATTCATTAGTACATCTTATTATATCAAGAGTTTTGAAAGTGTTGCTCCATATGATTGGTGTGTTTGCTCTATGAGTGGATTCTATCTGCTCTACGCCTCATTAAATACAAAATATAACCAAATTCTAACACAAGTTTCAGAGGTTTTTTTTTTTTTATTGTTGTTGTTGTTTATTTGTTTGTTTTACTGATACCACTGCCCCTTACATTTTATATTATACTTATTTTTAAAAATCTCAACAAATCACCTCAGGATATATTAGGAATATAGGAAATATCAATTCATTACTTTTTATATTTCTCTTTTAGGGAATATCAATTCATTACTTTCTCTTTTGGGGCCATTATATTTTCTTACCACTTGTTCTATATATCAAATTGAGGTTAAAAAATGGAGCTATTCAAACTTTAATGACAGTTTTGTAATGCATCAAATAGCCACTGAAAACAAGTTGTCTAATTTTCCCATTCTAAGCCAGTCTTTCATAAATTGGGGTGCAATGACCCAACACCTGTGTCTGACAACCTAGGTCACTTGTTAACAAATGTGAGCTCTTGGGCTCCACACAGTTTACCTTAGTTACTTCAAGGTAGGAGCTAAGGATAAGATTTAACAAGCTCCCTGGATGATTCTGAGGCTCAATTACTAAGCTGTTGCTTTATGTGTTCTACCTGGAATTAGGTAGAGGTTGGATACCCAATTAATAGAGGTTTTGTATCTCCTAATTGGCTATCCTTCATCATGGGGCCCTGTAAGAAATAAATATTTCTAATTTGCTTTCATTATCTTTTTTGAAGACATTAATTAATACCTAGTAAATTATTCAGTGTTCAAAAATAGGAAACATCCTTTTAGGTAAAATTAAAATCTAAACAAGGTACAGATTGATGTGAAATCCTAAGGAATTTGGCCATTGATGCTTTCTGGAACAGTTATGGGAGAAAAGAAAAGAAATACATATTGGAAAATTACACAACTTACTTAAAAAGTGTCAATGAGATGTCTGTCAGAAGGAAGCTTTTAACTTACATATGAAATTGAAGTAAGTAGCTTCGTGAGAAATTACCTTACAAAAATGTGCCAAACCAAAGAATCAACATCAAATCTCCATTTTCTAAGTTTAAAAATAAAGTCTCTAAAAAGTAAACCATACCTCTCCCCAAAATTCTTCTTCTTTTTACTCTTTCACAATTAATTATGAAATATTTTTATTTATTAACAAATTCTTAATCCTTTCTTGTCTCAGTCATTAATATCTGACAGTTGGCAATTTAAATGTGTTTTTACATTTCCTGTCCTTTTGGCTAGCATTGTCCAATCTAGTGACTGCAAAATCTTCAAGGTGCAGCTTGTCCTATCTTTAAGGACCAAAAATCACTTCATAAAATTTCTTTACGAAAATAAGTGTCACATCTCTCTGTAGTTTCATCCATGTAATAATGCCCAAAGGCAAGAGAAATGAGGCAGCATAGATAAATAATCCCTTCATTTTCTAGTATAGTTCACTGCCACTCCAGCTGGTATAAACAAGTGTGGGGACTGCTTTCAAACTTGGAAGCTCAAGGCAGCTCCTTCAATCCATAAATCAAACACTTGTCTATATTATCTCTCTTACTGTCATTTACACAAACTCTTTGTGAACGTATGTAATTTCCTCCTCTCTCTTCATAATATCAAGACCACAAAATCTTTCCTCTTGAATATTTTTGCCTCCCCATGTGTTTTACGAAGATAAGTTTTGTGACTGACTGACAAGTTTCCCTCATTCTAATGATTCTTTCATTCAAGAAATAAACAACAAAAGACAGCTGCTTCCAGATATATATGACCATATATCATACTTTTCTTTGTACAAAGCCTTTTCTCCAACAGTCTATTTCATACAGACCAAAACATTTTTTCTTCTGATCAAAAATAATCTATATCATTGCATTATTATGTAATCATTATTATTATATTATTATTATTAACTACGTATACTGAATATTAGATTAATAAACTTCAATTTTTAATGGTGCCATTGTCCACATATATACACACACACACATACACACAGCACACACTCTTTTTTCTTTACTTATAAATATTGTTGAGGACAATTATGTTTGATGAAAAAAAAACAATTAAAAAATGTTTAGTGTCTCTAGTTTATATAGCAATAGCAAACCAGATTGTAAATGAAAATATTATAACATTTCCCAAATTCTGTTTTATGCAAAACTACTGTTCAGAAAATCTTAGTAGATTTACAAAGATACAAAAACTAAATGTTATAAAACTGTTTATGAAACAAGTTTTTAAAAATAAAGTTTTTGAAAGCAGAATTTTTCTACATCTTTCACATGTTTATAAAAATTGTGAACTCCAAGAATGATATAGAATATGTTGCACCCAAAACTTATTATGAAATAAAAATATACTCTCAACTCATAATTCTGTTCTAACAAAATCTCCTTCATCATATTTTAGCTTTTATATGAAATATAGCTTGGATAACACCCTTGTTATATTACATATTTTGAATCTATTTTCTGATTCCTGTCTTATTTCCCAGAATCAAAGATGTTGTTTTATTCATAATCCAGTGTATTGTCCATATTCATAATACAAGTGGAATGCTTTATTTATACCCATACTTATTTTCATTTAATAACAAACTATATTATTTTCTTTATCTAATTTTTTGATTTTATGTCATTTAGTAGGTTAGTTATCTTTATTATAAATTCATTAAATAAAATTTCAAACTATTTAATAATAAGGAAGCAAACCTATTAAATATGAACAAAATATTTGAAAATAATTTTCTCAAAAGAAGACATACAAATGGCCAAGAAATACATAAAAAGTGCTCATCATCTCCAATCTTTAGAGAAATGCAAATTTAAACAATAACTAGATGTTATCTTCTACCTTTTTCTTTGGTTATTATTGAAACAATGAAAGACAATTAGTGTTTTTGAGAATGTGTTGAAAAGGAAAGCTGTATGCACTGTTGAGGGTATGAAGAATTACTACAGCCATTTTGAAAAGCAGTATGAAAGCTGCTGAACAAACTAAAAATAGAATTTCTATAAGATCCTACAGTGCTGTTTGTGAAAAGAATGTCTGCACTATCATATTAATTGAAATGTTATACACAATAACCAAGTCATGGAAATTAGATGATTTTAAATGTATTCACCACAAAATAATGATAAATATATGAGGTGATGAATATGCTAACTAAACCAATTTGATCCTTTCACAAAGTATACAGACAATAAATTATCACATTATATTCCCCCAATACACACATTTATTATTTACAATTAAAAATAAAATAAAATTTAAGGTAAATAATACCATTGTGGTACAGGACCACAGATTGTTGTCTTCTTCACTCATGTATTCCAAGTATCCATAATACTGTTTTCAATATAATGGGAATTCAATAAATAATTGGTGAGGACAGGAAAAAAAATAAGTAAATGCAATCATGTTGCTAATTGTATTACATGGATTTGGATGAATTCTACAATTACTAGAGATTGTCTAATTGTATAGAAAAGCAAAGACTGAGTATCTGCTTATTGCAGATACTCAGCATGACATGTACTTATAAATGCAAAACAGATGGAAAGAAAAGGGATGAAAATAGGTCATCAAACAGTAATTATGTGAAATAAAGAAAAACATGTCAAGAAATGTTCTTATTCCTTATAAATGTATGTGAATTTTTAAGCACATATGCATATGAGAATGTGTATGTGCACATGCTTGTTTTACAGCACTGCGTATTCTACCCTTCTTTCTGATTTTGTCTTTGTATTATGGCTACATGGAGTACTGTTTTATTTTACTTTGGGATGTAATCTTTTTAAGTACATGGTGTGTTTTGGTGTGTGTGCATGTGGGTGTGTGTCTGTGTGTTATTTTGTCAAGAAAATGATGATGATTCTTTGAAGTGCATGAAAATTTTAATCACATTACCTTGTGTTCTCAGGTAAGCCAAACTTTCCATTTCTTCAAGCAACAAGAACTGAATAGTGGAAAAACTTCCTTCAAATTAATGTAGCACTCTTGCCTTTTAATGATAGTAATCCTGAATCAGTTCTTATATTACATTTATTAGGGTGTTTTGTTGTTGTTTTGCCTTAATATAATATACTAAAATATATTCATCAGTGTTTAACACACACAAAAAAATGGAACTAAAGGAGTAGATAGATGACGGATGGACAGACAGATAGATGAAGAGATTGACTAAAAGGAATGGGCTTTATATTTAAAGTAGCTGACAGTTCCAAGATCTATAATCATCAAACCTGGAGACTTATGGAAGCCAAGACTGTGGTGGCATTCTGAAGGCTGGTAGCCTCAAAACCTAGGATGAGCTGTTTGGGTTTGAGTCCAAATACAGGCAATGACAAATGCTCTGTTTTGACGATATTTAGGCAGAAACAATTCATTGTTTAACCATCTCTTCATTTTATTCAGGCCTTCAAATGATTGGATGAGACCTACTCATATTGGGGAAGATAA